TGACCAATACTTAGTGTGAATGTCTAGAATGTGGCTGGTGGACTCTCCAGGTCAAAGAGGCAGTGGGGTCCACGTCATATGGCCCTCTTCCCTGCAGCAAGCCACACATTATTCTTCCAACTGAAAAATCTGCCCTTCAATAACAATTCACATTCGGGCCTGGTGTGATGGCTTAGTGGTTAAACCTTTGTCTTGCATCCACCAGGGTCCCAAATGGGCACTGGTTCATGTCCTGATTGCTCTACTTGTTAGTTTTATTACCTGAAACCCCAAATTGAGATGCAATACGTCAGTCAAGGAGGTCACTGTTTCAGCAGAGGAGGTAGCTGTGGGGCAGGGAGAAAGCAGGAGCAGAAGGAGAGAGAACAGAGTAGAGAAAAACAGCAGAAAGAAGAGCATGTGGAGAAAGTGGAGAAAGAGAAAGAGAGAGAACAAACAAGAGGCCCCTTTATACCCTCCAGGTGGGCATGGGGAGTGTGGGTTCAGGGACTGGCAGATGTGACTGTAGGTGGACACCAGGGATAAATGCCTCAGGGGACTGGTGGAATGCAAGGTTTGACCCTGAAGGTCACTAAGCTTACTTAGGCAAGTGGGCCTTTATTGAGCTGAGACCTAAGGGATTTACTGTAGTGTTAGGTAAGTAGATATTCAAGGCATTCAAGGTGGTGCTGAGTCCAGGATGGTGGGATCAAGGATCAGTTTTCAGGGGGCTTCTGTTTGAGTTGCATTTTACATCACTTCATCCAGCTCCCTGCTTGTGGCCTGGGAAAGCATGGATAGCCCAAGGCCTTGGGACCCTGCACCCATGTGGGAGATCCAAAGGACACTCCTGTCTCCTAGCTTCAGATGGCTCAGCTCCAGCCATTGCAACCACTTTGGGAGTGAACCAGCGGATGAAAGATCTTTTCTCTGTATCTCTCTCTCTCTGTAAAGCTGCCTTTCCAATAGGAGGGAAAAAAATAAAGAGAGAGAGAATGGAGAATAGAGAATAGAGAATGGAGAATGGAGAATGGAGAATGGAGGGAAGGAAGGAAGGAAGGAAGGAAGGAAGGAAGGAAGGAAGGAAGGAAAAAGTTCACATCCAACACAGATTTCAGTTCTAACACTTTTTCTTGCATGAATTTTCAATCTGCTTGATTCCACTCCCATATATGATGACATTAACCAGTTTGAGATTTTAATGATAAGAAATCCAATTAGATACATATGGCACAAGCCAGCAATCTTCCTGTCCTCCAAGTACATAGTTGACAAAATGAAAATCAGAACTGTTGTTCTCTGGACACAGGAAGACCACAGGTGACTGGGAAGAAACATCTTCCAGCTCTATTTGATTTTGTTTCTTCCTATTCAGTACTCAGGGTGAGATTTCTAACATTGGTAAAATCAGATTTTACAAAGAAAAGTGTTCTTACTAAGAACACGTTAAGGGGAAAGTTGAAGGCAACATCAAATTTTTCCAAATGGGAATCTGATGCAAATTCATGGAAGAAAGTTTGTGAACACAAGAAAGCTATTGCATTTTTTCTTTTTAAAATCATCTGCCAGGCTAGGTGTTATCCACTGAAACACTGCAAGTCAACAGGTGTGAACGGAAAAATTTTGAGAGTGCAACTTGCCAGTGATATCCTAAGGAGATGCTTTAACTGACTTCATTTTCATGGTTTAGTTCTCATCTCTTTCTGTATCTGATAGGTTAACATTTCAGAGAACCAGGTAGCGATGCAGGAATGTACTCTCAACCCACACATTTCCAGGGTCACTGGCTGGGGACCAGTGAGAGAGGCAGGCTCATCAGGGAGATGCCTTGCAGTTTGTTGAGTCAGGAAGCTGCTCATTCATTTTGGCCAGAGGATTAAAGGCCCCAGGGTGCTGGATTTCCTGGTTGTTCAAAGAAGCTTGATAAGGAGTTTTAGGAAAAGCTTATTGACCTTTAAGTTTTGGCAACCAACACAAAACTTGTTAGAACATCAAGAATGGGAGACAAAATACATCTGCAGGCTGGGTAGGCCACCAGCTTTGTACACAGCCTTTGGCAAAATTAAAAGACTATGGATTCTGGAATCAACCAGATTCCAGCTTTACTAATTGCTAATTTGTAGGAGCTTTGGGAATCCTGCCAAAACTGCAGTTTCCTTATCTGGGAAAGCCTGTACTGCAGAGTAGTTACACAGAGAAGAAGGGAAAGATGTAAAACAACCAATAGCTAACTAATAATAATAGATGTCAATGGCTGACTCATCGCCTGTTTGTTCCTATTGTCTAGTGTGCTTCTATGGGAGTTCACACCTTCAGATCAATGCAAAGTTGAATATCCCACATACACCTTAAATGGCTATTTTGGTTTCTATTTTCATGGCACAAGATACCAAAGGGAGACGGACGTCCATAACCACTCAAATATGAGATTGGCTTCTTTGTTCCAGGCAACTCTTCCACGGGCTCCCTAGCCAAACAGGAATTGCTGGAAAAGCCCCAAACTCACTTCCTTGGGGGCCAGGAAGCCCATCACCATGAATGCCCTTTCCCCATCTGTGCAAACGGAAGGGAAGCTCTACTGAACTCTACACGTGGACAGGAGTGAGATGAACACAAAGAAACCTAAGCCCCATGGGAAGAAGGCACTTTGAGGTGTTCACTTCAAGTCAACAGCTCGTTTTGAGTCATCTTTCTCAAGTGCACACAGCACTATGTCTCAAAGTTGGAGCAAGTTCCACTGGACACTGGGCTCTGTCAGCACACAAAGCATGTCTTTTTCATGATAACCAATGCAATCATTAGATATGCATGTCTAATAGAGTGTGCTACTTTGATATATTATTATAAAAGACAGTAGTGTTAGAGTCCACTAATAATTAATGTGTTAGCTATAACCATATAAATTATTTCTAATAATTATTACCAACAAAAATTGGCTGGAGTTCAAGATTCATTATAACACATTTCCATATGGAACTGATCCAAGAGTAATTCGTGTTCAGAATTAATTGGGATTTCCCAAGTTGGATCTCAATACTGTGCATTAAAAATTAAAGGGAACAATGAAATTGATAGTGACTGGAGCAATATCCTTGAAGTCTGGAATACAATTTCAGTTTTCCCACAGAGGGTAAGTATTCTGCCAGCCATAGAACCTCTGCCAAGGGGCACACAATTATGATCTTGGTTCTGCTGTACAGGAGACATTCAGCCAGGGCTCCCCGGCCTTCCCTACACACACCGCACAGAAGGCAGGCATCACCCCGGCACCTCAACCCCATCATGCCAACACCCGCTCCCAAAGCGAAGATGTCTTAGCTTATTGTGCACCAGTAACAGTATTGTGCCTGCCATGCATGGCCTCTAACAGGGCACTCTGGAGGAATAATGCGGCAGCACATGTAAAAAACCGCCCGGTTTCCGAGCCTTTGTCCTATGAGCTGCACTCCTACAGAATCTCCTATAGGAACTCAGCCAAGAGAAAGGGAAAACACTTTGTAGAAACATGTTCATCGCAGCACTACTTCAAATAGGGTATTTCAGGAAGCAATTTCAAATGGAAAAAAATAAGAAATTAATTCATGTACTGGGTTATTACACAACTTTTAAAAATCACAATGATCAATTCTGTAACATTTTTAAAAAGCATATAATACAAGGCAATAAAATCAGAAGAGCAAAATACACGTTCCTAATATACTTGTCTATGGGAGGCCGGCTGCAGGAGGATCTGCTCAAATGCCAGCATCGGGTCCTGAATGCATGAGAGTCCAACAGCCACAATAGTGAGCAAATCCTTCCCCCTCCACATCCCAACCCAAAGACCAAGTTATCTCCTGACAATCTGGTAGGTTACTGCCATAGGAAGACAATTCACAGAAACACCATTCCATCTAGCAACGCCCGGTGAGCCGTCATGTGTGAGCAACGCATGGGATGTGCATCAGTGTGTGCACCCTTGGCCATTTTACAGGTAAGTTTTGAGGTGTGTCTGAACATGCTCTGAGTACCTTCCAAAGCCAGCTTGACAGTCCTGACTCCTTTCCCCTGTTTCTCCCGTCTCAGTCTGCTTACCATTGAATTTATTCATGATCTCCACAAGCTCTTGCCTTTCTCCAGTCTCTAACCAACTCAGAGGCATCCCATCCACCCCAGGCCCAGCAACCCAGGGGTCTGGGATGAGTTACTCCCTCAGTGCTAGGCACTGAGTTACAGTACTGCTGTTGGGTGTAATGTGACCCTCTTGGACTCATGCGCCTTCATTCCACAACAGCCTTCCAAGCTACGCTACTCCCACAGACCCTTGCTCCATCCTGTGTCAGTGCCTTTCCCAATCATTGTGCAGCAGCTTTAACTCCAGTGGCACTGTCTAATCCTCAATTCTAGCCAACCACCCTGCACGTCGGCTACCCCAGCCCACCTCTTAGGACCAAAGCTTGTCCATGTCTGCAGAATATTAGCCAGGGAATCAATGTCACTGCCTTGCTCGTACAAGCCCCTGTGGATTCCTCTCTAAAAACCAGTACCTATCGGAAGGTCATTTTATCTGAATAGTGATTTCTCTCCCAATGGCCCCAAAACATGCTCCTTCAGAATTACATTCTCCAAACTCTGATCAAGCCCATTATGCCTTAAACACAAGGCTTTGTGTCCAGAACTATTTTTGGAATATCAGCTTTTTCACTCAAGACCATACCAGGATCTGCATTGAATCTCTATTCCTGACCCTCTGGTTGCCGACCCTTTTTGCCAACAGCTGAGCCAGAGACAGAGTACGTCATGAATGTTTCCTAGTAATTGACAAAAGCACTCTAAAAGTTTTAAGCCAGACACAAAGGGTAAATGCAAAATACCCACAGCATCCAAACAACCACATCAAAACATCATGAGACAAACAGAGACACGCTCATATTCATTTCTAGAATTTTCCAAACCCATCAAAATCAACCACCTAAAGACACAAAAACGTCAAAATATTTTTGACCTCGTCATTCCACCACGCTTCTGTTGGAGTCGCCTACCTCAAACCATTGCCCGTGGGACTGCATCTTGAGGATGACACAGGGGTCTGGTTTGGAAAGGGCATCTCTGTCGGAGATGCCTTTGCAGGCCACACGGAGCTCAACTTTGGTCAGGCAGGGGCTGTTAAAGAGTCCCAGCGTGTTGGCAGCTGACTCATAAATGTTGCTCATCTTCTTCATTCTGTTGTAGGCAAGAAAGAGAAGAAAGAGGCACCAATCACCGCAATGTTTATAAGAGAGAAAGGTTCCCAATCAGCCTGCAGGAAATTATTCAACACACAGTTTCAAATATTTAAGCATTTATTTATTACCTCGCATGCCAACCCAGTGTCATCCATCGCAAGGAAAAAAGAATATTAAAAAACAAACAAAAAAAGCAGCTGCACTTGGTTAAGAACTTTATTTTCCTGTATTATTTGCATACATTTGCATAGTAAAAGTTTTTCGTCTGTGAAGTAAAACTAATGAATTAGTGCAGCAGACTGCAAACTCTAATCAAGTTCTATATTAAGTACATGTTTGTGGGAAGTTTCAAAGATTTGTGAACTAATCAACTTAATCATATCTCGAGTTCTTAAGACTCTCCCCAAATCCACTTTCCTACGCAATGACACACAGAAGCATACCCTTCCACCTAAAGAAACAGCCAGACCTTCCACTCTGCAGCCTGGCCCACCTCTCCACATGCCACAGCAAGCCACCTCCAAGTGAGAGGCCCAGTGCCTGATTTTCTGTCCCTAGTGCAGCAGGCTATGCTTGGCTCCTCCCAGCCACATCACAACTCAGGATCACAAGCTCAAAAGCAAGAAACGCAACTGATTTCAGACTCATCATTCCTTGTCTGCCCTCCAAATCACTGGTTTCACATTGTGTGCCTAGTATTCTTTCACACGTGACCCAGGAGTTGGTTACCTTACAGAATGGACAGGGAACCTACACATCACCCAGACGATGATACAGATTCATCAAAACCGTTTTCCAAATGTCAACTAGGTTTGTGCCTCCATAACAGAATTTTTTTTTCAGTTTTTCATTTTTAAGGAAAGAAATTCAGTCTGACAGAGATCTCCAATCCACTGGTTCACTTCCCAAATGCCCACAATGGCTAGGAGTGGGCCAGCCTGAAGCGGGTTGCCTGGAACCATCTTCCATTGCTTTCCCAGGCCATAACTTGGGAACTTGGTGGGAAGTGGAACAGCCATGACACAAACAGGCAGCCATATGGGATCCTGGTGCTTGCAAAGTGAGGATTAGCCAATTAGCCATTGTGTGGGTCCCCTGGCAGTCTTATAGAGGCTCTTGCTTATGTGTCCCTCTTGAGGTTTTTATTGTCTGCTCGATAGTGCCCAATCTGGAGATATCTGCTGACAGATGATGAAACCAACTTACACCGTCATCTTTGAAGGGACCAGGTACTTGTGAGAAGCATGTGGGCATGAAGAATAAGCTCAACTTTTCACATCAGACTCAGGGGCTCCGGTTTATTTCCTGTCCATGCATAAATGAAATGAGTTCCTGTCCTCACTCACCTAGAGGTAATAGCAATCCCCACCTTGACCTTGAAGGTCGCACATAGGCTAGTAGGGTCACTGTTGATAGGTGATCCTAAAATATGGCTCCATCAACGAGTGATCATCCATGGCCCCAAAGAAGTGGAGTAAGCAAGTCATTTCATACTCTGTTAGAGAAGAGGATTAATATGGCCACATTATCAATACATTTTGCATGGCCTGTTTAAATCCTCTTTGTTGCCTTCCCTACAATACCCTGGTTTTACAGAGACTAACGTCTGCTGAGAATTATTTTGATGAAAGCTGACTTTTGGCCAATTTTAGAAACGAATTATAATTGTCCTTTCACTCAGATAATTTAAGTTATAAAAAACCCACCACTTCAGCATATCCACACTTTAACAGGACAAACTGATCCTGAAACTTAATTAGTTTCTGAATGAGCTGCAAACAACACCAAGACAATGGAGTACTCAAGAGGGAAGGGAATCAGCTTGCACTCACAGGGGGAACCAACGGAGCACAGCTTGTCTCAGGACTGCATTCAGAGTAAGTACATAATCACTGTTCTGCTTGCCTGGGCAATATGAGGCCTTTCAAATGTCAAGCACTTCCAGAGAAGGATGGTACACCAGATGTCTCTATCACACAGCACTTCCATCTCCATCTAAGATCAATTTATGAGGCACCTGCAGCCAGCCCAGCGCTGGGCAGGATGCTCAAGGAAGTGAGCATCTTTCTCCCAACGAGAGAGACAAGGCAGATGTTATCTGCTGGGCATCCCTTGCTCTACTCTTAGATCTGCTCTTGGCCGAACTATGCTAGACAGACTCAGCAAGGCTTCGCTGAGGCATGCATGAGAGTCCCTCTGCCTAAAGGTTCCTATTCTGGAACAGGGCTTCTCATCACAAAGCATCTATGAGACCTTCTTCAAATGTAACTTCTATTGCAAGAGCAGGTTGCTGTCGGGCCTGAGATTCTGTTCATGGTGGTTCCTAATCCAGGGAAAACACTTGAGTGCCAGGTTTGTCAAACATAGACTAGTCATCTGTAAAAATAAGGCAAGCTGCTCTGGAGTTGCTTATCAAAGACACAGGAGGACGGACAGCAATGAGCACCGGCGTGTTTGAGCTGAGCTAGTCACTTAGCTCCTTGCGGCTCAATTTGACCATCTCTAAAATGGGAATACTTTGTATATTTTCTTCTTCCAGAGTAAATGAATTCATCCATACAAAATCCCTAGAAGACTAATGAATAAATATAAACTATTTTATCATTGCTTATAATGACATCACTAAGTTTGTGGAACATTTCCAGATTTCTTAGAGACTGCCAGGCATCCAACATGAAGTTATGAGTTCCTCTTAAAGATCCTATGGTTGGTCAGGTTGCCCACAGCACAGGAAGGAACCACAGCCTGGGAAAATCAACAACCGCCAACAGCTACCCAGACACGGAGTCTAAGACACAGCATTGGATCTCAGAACTCCCCTGCCTAACCCTGCCTAGGCCTCTACTTCTCTGGATGCTGCCCTGGGGGTCAGCAGCCCTACAAGACTCTCAAAGAAATGTCACCTCCCCTCAATCCACCTAGCCCTCCCTGATGCCACACTCTAGCTGTCTTTCCTGTCTCTTCCCTCAAACTCGCAGCATGCTCCTTCCTCTCAGCCCTCTAGAAACGGGACGAGTCTACTTCCCTCCCATTTGTAGAGTCCTTCATTTTGTACACTAAGGCTCTCTCTGGATTGCTCTCTGTGCCTGGCCTTGATCCTGCGCACCCTGCCAAACACCCACAGCTCTCCCTGGGGCAGACCAAACACTGGCCTGTCCAAGAGGAAGGAACGGGAGGGGGTGGAGCAGGACGTGCATGCTTAGCTTCACCAAGCACAGAATCCTCTTAAACACCTTTTTAAAAACCTTGCATTTTTAGCCACGAGTGTCAACTACACAAATAACATAACCAAACACATACTGTCATTTAGCCCTTGGGACCACTTCTTGAGATAGATAATGTCTACCCATTTTACAGGTATCAAAAACTGAGGCTGATCATGACTAAATAACTTCCCCAAAGATACAGCTGGCAACCGACAAAGCCTGCGAAATGATCTGCCTGGCAATGCCTTTTTTAAGTTGCATAACTCTCTAGATCATGAAAACTTCTGTTTCAGTCTAGATCGCTCTGTAAGTTGCAGTGTGCATACCAATGAGACCGTGCCCTAACAGTCCTTAAGATTCACTTTTCTTCGGTGCTGTTGCTCCTGAGGCAGTTCTACTGATTTCTAGGACTCTATTGAGTGATTTGGGACTCCGCGTTCCTACTTTGATTATTTCAAACACTGGGCACTGGATGAGTCACAGGCAGTAGAGTTACAATCAGCAACCACAGCAATAGAAACCCTGTGCACAACACCAAAGGCCACGGCTTAGGGGAAAAATCTGACAATAAATGTATATGAATCACAATATGGCCAGGATTGTATGCATTTAAAATGAACGGAGTTGTGTTTCATGAGCACACCATACTGAAATCAAAAGCAAGCGATTCCATGCGTTTTCTAATTTGAGACAACAAAGAGACCCAGAAGAGATCCCATTTCCTTCCTGAAAACCAGCTTTCTTGGGAAAATGCATTTATGGAATCAGATATGTTGGTGTTCCTGGTTCTCTCGAGTGCTCTGGGCTCACAATTTTGGCCCCAACAATGAGTCATAAAGAGGAATTTTTCTTTTCTTTTTTTTTTCTAGAAAGCAATTAAGCTCCATTGCATCACATTCATATTAATTTTATAGCACTCAAATGCCGCCCATTTTTAGGGGAAGAATCGACTGTATAAATTTAACTGGATCATTGTGAAGGCCTGACAGAAACTCCTGAAGTCAAGCTAGCTCAATGTCGAGGGAAAGCACATCGATGACCCCCTGCTCTCGGCACAGCCCCTCCTATATCCCCTCCCCTCCAAGGGAAACCGGGCACAGCTCCTCCTTTATCCCCTCCCCTCCAAAGGAAACCGTAACTTCTGAATGAGAGAGAAGCAACTTGTGTGTAAGGTTCCTTCCATTTGGCAGGCAACTACATATACCCAGTAGAAAAATCAAGTCTCAGCCCTGTTTTGTTGTTATTTTCCCTTTTTTGATAGGATCAGAAGATGGGTTCCTTCCACTAACGTCATGTTAACAATCTGGGGGTTCACATAAGGGATTTTTGTGCCTCTGGTCTTGTTCATATAGCTAAATTAAAAAAAAAAAAAAGAGCAAGATTAGTTTGATGTTAAATGGGATAAAGTCGAGACCGCAGAGGAAGCCAGAAGCCGATTTCCTTGCCCAAGCATAACTTCTACTTTCGGATCTTGTTCCACTCCTGTAGCTACATCCTAGCATTAACCTGGTTTTGCTTAGTTTACACAGAACAACATGGTCAGTGTGTGTGCGGAGGCGGGGGCGCAGGGAGACAGACTGAGTAGAAAACAGAGTGTAACAAGAAAGAACTTTCCAGGATGAAGAACGCAACATCTTGTTCAGCACTGCCCAGGAGAAACACATAAGCTGGGGCAGCAGTTAAGACATGGTTAAGTGCTCCATGTCCCATATCAGAGCACTTGAGGGGGGCCCCCTTCTGCTTGCTCCCCATTCCTGCTTCCTCTCAGTACACATCCAGGGAGGCAGTAGCAACGTCTCATCAAGCCAGGTCTCT